AAATGCCTAGAATTGCGAACTTCACTTAACTTGCCATAAAACCATACACTCCGTATTTCATACTCCGTTCCTGGTATGTTCTAATTTTAATTTTCGAGAAAATAATTGTCATTTTGACTTATAGTAGATCAAATATTGTAAAATTTAGATAGTTAGAGATAGAAAGCATTGAAAATTAAATTCGGTAGTTTGAAGTTAAATATTATGATTGGTATTGAAACTAAGTTTATTGCCATACAGCATGGATTAAAAGATCTTATAATATCTTCCATGACATTTAGTGGGCAAATGTACAGAATTATATAAAAGATGTATAGCATTTGAATATAAAAACTCTTCTTGCTTCCATCAATGATGCCTATTAAACTTACGTGACCTGACGAAATCATATCATGCATTTCGCCAATTTGCAATAACTAAACTTATGGTTTCGCTAATGACAAAAATGGGTTTGTCAAGAATCTACAGCTTCCACTTATATATAATGATATCATACATATGTGACTTATTAAATCGTTAATTGTGTTTATTGAATTTATGCTAACCATAGTATTTCTCAGCTTAAATTGTAAGAACTCTGAGTATTTTAGTTAACACTATAATAATTTCCCTGATTGGCTTTATTAATTATTCACGTATTCTGATAGTGGAAATGGTAAAAAAAATCAATGAACCTGTAGAAACCTAACTTTATAAGCTTTGTCACCTCTTAGCAGTTTCACAAGTTTTACCATTTCGTCATTTTAATATTTTTTGGTGAAAGTCGAAACTAATTTCGCCTTTCGTCTGTGGCGAAAATTCTGAGACAAATTAAAATTTTGCTTGTTACCAGAAATCTTTTTGACTTTGCCTGTAAATTATCCTAATTCATCAAAAAAAATTATATCACTATTTTTTCGAACCTTCAGTCCAGAGATAACAATGTAATTTCTGATAATTAGGTGAATTATAGGATGAAACTATAAAATTTCGAGTAATGAACAAAATTTTAATTCGTCTCCTAATTTATGAGAACAGCTGTAATAGTATCTGTATTAATTATACAATAAAATTGTGCAAATAATATCGATATTTTTATTTATAGTGTAAATCGGACGGACAGAAAATTCAGAATTACGGTTTGATGTTTTAATATAGAATGTATCAAAAACGTAACTTTTGTATCAGTATATAGAATCTAAGAGCCATGCGCTTTGCTCCGGACAACTAATACAAAACTAATAAACCTAGATTAGTTGTAATAAACCTAGATTAGTTATAATTACAAAAAGGATAGATCTAAACAGTCCCTATGAAATCAATGCTTTCATATCCAAATAATGAAAATTTTAGGATAAAAATAAAAATTATGACTCGAATTCGGATTAGTATTTGGATCAGAGTTAGGTAAAATTGCGTAAGGAACTTTTTTTTTCATTAGTTACATGACAGTGGTTGGCATAGTAAAATTTTAACACTGTTAGTTCTGTTATAATAATAATAATAATAATAATAATAATAATAATAAAATTTCTGCAATTTACTTATTAAGATCCGTTAATAATGCAAATTTTTTTATAAAATTTGCTCAAAATCGACTCACAATTGCTGCAGGACCGATTAACATCCCTGAAAAAAATAACCAATGCAATCAAATAATCGCCTTTCGAATTAACCTACTAGAATATTAATTTACAAAGACATATATATCAGTGTAGCATTCTAAATCGTTTTTTAAATCAGTTCAAATGAATCATTTAGACTTTCAAATGACAGCAATCATTAATGGCATAGCCGTTAATCAAAAAGATGTCTTTTTTGAGCCTTCAAATGACAATCATTAATGTTATCAAAAAAGATGCTTTATCTGACCTTCAAATGACAGTAGTGTAATTTAAGATCTTCTGGATAATCAAAAAAAAAAGCTTTTTTCAGACTTTCAAATAATGGCAGATATTGTAATTTGCATTATTCTGGATCACGTCCAATAATCAAAAAGATGCTTTTTTTAGTCCTTCAAATGACGGCAGATATTATGTTATTCTGGATTGCAGCCGATACTCAAAAAAATAAGAGGTATTATACAAGATTAATGAATCATTTAGATACTGTTATTTAATTAATGCAATGTATTTTTGTATTTTTACATTATCTGAAATTTACAGTAAAGTAAAATTGCAATTATTCTCAATTACATGAAAATTGTGGTTAATTAATTTTTCAGTATCCTGGTAGAAAATAACGATGGAACATGGTCAAACAGAACAACTCAGCATAGATATGTTTCATCGATGTGTTTTACATGTTTGGCAATTAGCCACACATAAAGCTCCAGCCTCTAAAACTTCATCGATTTATTATTGATTATAATATATCGCTTTATGGAATTTTAATGGAACTAACTTATGGAATTACAATCCATTGTTTACGTTCCTGGTTTTACCATGACAACATTGTGCAGTATATTTTTACAGGCAATTAACTGTGCGCAAGAATTGAGCATTCTAGTCACATCAAATCTGTACTATATTATTAAATGAAAATTTATTTTTTATAAATCTCTACACCTCAATAAATAAGGAAAAAAGATAAGTAACAAACAAGTTACTTATTTGAAGAGTAATGATTTTGACACAAATGAACGTAAAATCAGTTGATCTGACTGTGCAAAAATTTAAAATATATCGTAATATGCTTTACTATCTTTGGCAATCGATTTTCTACATAAAGATTGAACCTGTTTAAAAATTGGTTGATAATTTTAGCATAATTAAGTCGGTTGTGGGCCAGAATTATCTTAATTCAGGTTGAATTAAACGGCTAATACACGGTTAAACAGTTAGCCGATCAGGCAGTTTCAATCCCATTTAAATAATTAAACTTGAATAAAGCCTGCTCATGGTTTTATGCAACTGTCTTATTTGATTTCAGATGATTGATATACAGTACAGAACTGCCGTACTATATATCGTTTGTTAATTGTATCTTTTTTGAAGTTTAGTTTAAGTTTGTTTAAAGTTAATATGAGTAACCGACAAAATAAATTCATTATTATTTATTGAGGTTAAGTATGTATGCTTTCAATTACGCATTTTGAAGTATATTGCGAATTCATTGTATTTGGTAACAGTTCAATTTGGTTTTGGTCGTGTAATAGCGTGGAGGATTTTTACTGGTTGATATATTACAGCTTGTTTCATAACTTTTACAGCTGTTATCATTATTCCTGGGACACCTTGTGAAAAATTAACCGAGTGATTATTCTGCCGATTCGATAAGCTATTGATTTCGGTATGATCAATGTAACGTTTATTATTTACAAAGATGGGGTGCGTACGTACGTAGATTTGCAGTGACAATGATTATTCGATAATGACCAGATAACCAATATCAAAATAACTCTAATTAAGTATTATACTTTCGAAGCATATTCAGTCGAAAAAAATTTAGGAGGGTCATAAATTCGAACAACTGCTAAACACTTAGGTGTTAGCAGATCTTCAATAAGTCAAGTTTTCAACCAATAGAGGGCTTCAAAGTTAACGTGCGGGAATCTAATTTTGATAGAAATAGATGACGTATTTATATACAAATAAGCGATGTATCAACTTTATTTAATTTCCTGATAAGTTTGAAATGATGATTTCTGTCGTTGAAAAGTCTATTTATTTCGTTAAATGGTGATTCTTTCATTTTCCGATTTTAAAATTTTAATTTCAAAATGCGCTAACGTTGAAAGACTTCCGCCACTTGTAAGAAATCACGTCTATTAAACCCGTATGATATAAAATATCTTAAGACTTTAATAGAAGAAAGTAGAGATCGATCATTGAAGCCTTGTAGTTTCACGTGAGTTTTAATTTATAAATCGATTAGCATCTATGTACGTATGTACCCATCTTTGTAAATAATAAACGTTACATCGATCATGCCGAAATCAATAACTTATCGAATCGTCAGAATAATCACTCGGTTAATTTTTCTTAAGGTGTCCCAGGAATAATGATAACAGCTGTAAACACCAGATAAAAAAAATTGCCGATTGATTTTTTACCGATCCGGTTAAGCTATTATTACAAAATCACATAACTTTTGCATTACAGCCATTTTCATAATTCCTGGAACACTTGATAAAAATTGACTGAATGATGATCTGATCGATTCGATTAAGTTTGTGATTTCAGCATAATATATGAGTGACGAAAAGGGAAAACCTGTAAATCATCTCACTCAATGAGTGAAATGATTTACAGGCTTTCCCTTTTCGTCACTTATATACAATAAAAATTACGTTATTTTGTATGCACGTACGTAACTTTTACATTAACAGTTAATTAGCGCACTGGCACATGATTATTGCACCTTCATTACAAAAGTTTTGCCAGCACTATGAAAGTTTTGGCCAACTTATTTTAAATACAAAAATTGCATATCAGAAACCTAAACGTAAAAATTGCGCAAATTTATACCTATATATAGAAGACATATGATACTTTCTACTGATAATTCTGACATTATAAATGTCGATAAGTTCAATATTATTATACTTTCATTTGAATGTTTGCCTAACAAGCTTAGTGTGCTTATATCAAATTACAATGAAATCTATCGCCATATGAAACGTAAATTGTAATTTATTTAATTTATATACCGATCATGCCGAAATCAAATAATTTATCCAGATCTGCCGAAAAATCATCCGCAAATTTTTATCCGGTTTTCAAGAATTATATATTTTTATGACTTTAGGCAGAATGATAATTTTTAGAAATCTATTTTGTATCAGTAATAATGCATTTCTAATTAAAAGAACAGTTTTGGACCGAAACTGGTCCAGAACTAAAATAGGTTTTCACAAGAATCGATGCATTTTTTATTGCTATTCGTAAAAAATTATGTATCTTTGATCTGATTTTGTAGATCAAGTAAAATCACTTTCCTTAGTTAGAAATCGCTTTTCTTAGTTGAAATCGTCTTTCTTAGTTAAAAATCGCTTTACTTGGTTAAAAATTTAATGAAAGTAAATTATGCTTTATAATTTATGACTTTCTATATTCATATCTTCAAAAAACACATCATTTTGTAAACTGCGATAATACAAGATCTTTAGTAAAAAAAATATAAATAAGCACATAGACAGCATGTAAAAAGTTGATTATAATTTTGACAATCGTAATTATACAATTTTAACTCATAATAGGTATACGGTCGTCACTCGAAATTTTAAATATTGTTATAACAATCACAATTCAACATGAATCAGAAATATTTTATTATTTCATTTAATTTTCAAATAATTCTTTATCTCATCATTCACAAATCTTGGGTATTAAAATAAATAATTAAAAAAATAGATTAAAACTTTTTCATAGTTTTCATAGTTTGTGATGGTAAACTTACAGCTGCCCGGTCTGATAAACCACTGACTAAGAGACGATTAGCGCCGCTGTTCGGGACTCCTTCTATTATAAGTGACGGTTGTGGGGATGGGAAAAGATCTGGTATGTTGATTTTCAAACAATTCTTTATCTACAGTATCATTGTTCACAAATCTTGTGTAAAAAAAAATCAAATTAACATTTTTTTTCATAGTTTGTGGTGCTAAAATTACAGATGCTAGTTGGACAATACTGTCTAAGAATGAAGTGCAACCTTTTAAGGCAATTGGGGCATATCTCAAAATGACGGTTACTACTCCTGAAGGTAGCCCAAAATGGATAGGTGACGTTTCCTTCAGTTATGATAATGGTATCAATGTTCATATTATAGATGAACTTGTGCATCTTGATAAGCCGCAAAATACATTCTTTTGGCCTTATCCTTCTGGAGGAACACCTATGAACGTATGGGCTGATGTTTGGGCTTCAATACTTTGGAATTGTGAAGATGGTAAATGTGCTTCTGAATTTGTACATTTACGAACTTGGGCTCCTCCACAACAATAATTGATAACAAATTTTTAACTAATTTTTAAATTATTGCAATAAATTAATTTACAAAAATTATATCCATTCGTAACACTGATGTATATAACACCTATTTTAATGTTTGTAATGGTCTGAGTTAGAGTCAGAGTTATAGGTTAGGGTAAATATATAGTTTAATAATAGGGCGTTTTTTTTCATAAATTAGCATCTTTTATTACTTTTATGAATGTTTTTTTTTTTTTTACCTACTTCAGCTTTATTTTATAATTGACAGAAAAATGACGACGTTTTATAGACCGAATCCTTAGATTTCAAAATATCTTTGTTCTTTTATTACATTTTAAATAGAGAATAAATTTGTAAATAAGGATAAATATAGGCTTTACACCAGCCTAATAGTCTTTTAAAATAATATTACCATGTTTCAATTTAAAATGTAGTTTCAACGTGCTTAATTTTAATAGACATAATTTTTTATTCTTATAATTGTTATTTTCATAATATAATCAAAGCCCCCAGGAAAAATACTTGCAACGGACAATAAATTCAAATGATATGAGAAAAACTCTTACTATAAAATGCTATATTTTTAAGTCTGAGACGTATATACAAATAGTGATCCAATCGTTAGTTGACAACTTTTCAACTAGTTGATTTGAAATTTTTAAAAACAACTCAACAACAAATTATTAAATAGTTCAATTATGAGATATTCTGTCTGTTTAGGCTAACTCATGTTAATTTCTTTGATTTGATTGGTTAACTAACAAATTTAGTAACATAATATAAAATTTGATTAGTTGCAACTATAGTTGGCACTAGTTGATTAACAAAATTTTTACAAACTTGGAACACCATATACTAGAGATGGGTTTCATGCGTGTGCATGATTGCGGAAACATACGCATTAATGCGCATGATTCCGTTTCATGCGCATTTTATCCCATCAAGTTTTCTCTCCTCTCGATCGTTTTTTCTTTTTTTTTTGCCTTTTTTTTATCATGCGATATCATGCGCATGAAATATTTCGTGCGCATTAATGCGCAGGTTATTTTAAAATGCGCATTTTTCCCATCACTACCATATACAAACACTATTTAAATAATTTTAATACTGTATAAATAACAATTAAGCTAGAGTAGAGAGGAGCGAGTGAAAGACCTTTGAGTCTTATTCTTAAAGACATCCGACTTCCACCCCCGTAATTTTGCCACTTCTGAGAACTCTAGAACAAGAATCCTTAATTTCTCCCGATTCACCTATCCTTACTTATGAAATATAGCAATAAGCATTTATTTTATTGCTATCGAAAATGACGAGTAATGCTTTAGTTAGACAAAAAGTAAAATGGTCACAAAACATTGATAATATTACTAATATCACCTTAAACAATTACGGTGTGAAAGGGTAGGTTGTTGCTTGCAATAAATTCTTTACATTTGATGAGTCAGAAGTATATTAGATTTGACTTATTTATTATATGTTGTAAAAGAACAAAGTCGATGATGGGTGACACAGTTCGAATCCAGTCAAAATTTGTAGGCATGGTGCATTAAGTGCTTATCGTCATATCCAACTTATCGTACAAGTTTCACTTATCATCCTTAGTGAACTTGGAAAATTATTGGTTTACTTTAAATAAGTTTATTTATTTGAAAGAATGTAAAAACTATATAAATGGTACCTTTTCGTGCGAATAAAAACAATTCAGTTGAAGTTCAACATTAAAAAGTTTTCTGTTCTATTAATCCACCCGATAAGTAAAATCTGTATTTACGATAGGAATTAGTGACCAAGTCCCGTGCTCATGCATTAAAATACCCGTGACGTAGCCCAGTGTTGTCACGTCTACTATGTCTAAGATTTTTTTTGACCATGTCCAACGTCCAAATGTCCAAACGTCCAAGAATGTCCACAGCATATACAAGCTTTAAAAATTAATATATTAATTTAAAAAATATATAATTATATATTTTTTATAGTGCTGAATATTTTTATTTAGAAAGTTAAAATAGGTTAACTTAATAAAATTTTGAGCAAATTTAATTTATTTATTTGTCCAAAAATGTCCAAAAGTGTCCAAAAGTGTCCAAACTCATGTCCACAACTGTCCCGTGACAACACTGACGTAACCTATGTACCCACCGTCATAAATGGAAATGATCATCATTATTTACGTATATGATTTTTTCGATATTTAATATTTTTGTTTTTTTTTTTAGAAAAAGAATCTATACTAAAATTTTGCAAGGAATATTTTTTGTTAGAACACGAAAGTTAGTTACATGTTAAAAATACGTTACACACTGATCGGTTATGTAAATTTGATGTAACGGTAACGGTAATGGATAAAAAGCGTGATTTCCAAATCGGGTGGTGGGTACATAGATGTATCCAGGACCCTAGTTACTCTTATCAAATCTTGATCTGTAATCGAAATTTTCCGATAAAGCGGAGTTAATTCAATATATGATCTACACACTGCATAAATTACATTCTTGATATTCATATAACCACACTAACACTAACCGCATCAAAATGATAATTCTAAAACTCGCTTCGCTTTAGCCGACAACCCGTTAATAGTAAACAATGATCTACCCTAACGTTAACAAACCATCGGCTTTAACCCGTTATAGCTATTGATTCTGTGTACGTAATAATTACTACGTATGAATGCAAAGAGAAAATTATTTATTATTTACCAAATTCGGATAGTGAAAAATCTGATCGATTACATATATATTTAAAACTTGAAGTCTTGGTAGCACTAATTAAATTAAGTATAATATGTTGAAAATCAATGTTAAACTTTTAGTAAGATCCGTTTCGTGAGATAAATTTGAATATTAAAAATAACAGCAATTGTGGACTTTGTATTATAAATTTGATATAATTTATTAAATTGTTTAGATTCCTTATATCAAAATATGTGAAATAATAAATTTATTTTGTGTGATTTACATAAACAAATTAGCAATGCAAAATGTTTGGCGAAATTATTATCTTTATTGTTTTTTAAAAAATAATTAAGATACCAATGTAATCCATGAGAGGTCTATATAAGCATTAGGTGTGTGCCACGTAATATGTGAAATATATACTGGCACAGATACTTCTATAATTAGTGCGCAGAAAGCGGTTTGTTAAGTGAATATTTGATTTACATGCGTATGTGCAATATCCTCACAAATTTGGTTCAACGTTCAGCAACAAAGATCGGTTTAAAACTTAAGAAACCGCTAAAGACGACATAATGTATGCATCAATATTTATGCACTATATATTAATATTATATTAATTTATGAATCTAATACCGTTGATTTATCATGTTGCTTTTTTGTTTTTTATGTTTCCTTTATAACTGTTGTATACCTTTGGAGGTTACTACGGTAAATAATTCTTTTTGATGTCTTTGATTTTTACGCTTCTTTTGTATTACTGTACGTTTACACCTGATTTTAAAGCTTGATTGGTCAGAAATTTTTTTTTTAAGGTAGTACTGTAATGCAGAAACCAATAGATATGTGTAAAAAAATTTATTGAAATGAATTAATATTACATACATATCTGTTTATCGTTATATATTGTAATCTTTTTGCTGCGACAATGAAATTGAGCAGCAAAGTGGCTTGCATTAAGCGCCCTTTAAATTCTAAATAGGCAAATAAGCAGCTACATGAAATTGAAAACTTGGCGATAAGAACGCCAAATTTATAATTCCGACCGGGTTTATAATTTTAGGTTCTGAATCTGGAAATGTTTTACCAAAGATATAGATAGATGTAAAGAACAACTAACAATCAGGTTTCGTTTGGATTTATTAAACATGTAAAGCTTGTTCGATATATTAAATATCATAAATTATTATTGAATTTATTAAACATGCCAAGCCAGTTCAAACCTATAATGATATGATTTCTATATAAACTGACCATACATGCCTTTTGTATGTTCCATAATTGCATATTTTTGACTTTTTGATCTTAATAATTATTCATTCGTCATCCTTTAAACTTATTAGGTTCATTTAAAATTTACCATCTACACAAAATGCTATATGATCTAATTGTCATTGGTGGTGGATTTGCTGGCATTTCCACTGCAATTGGGTTAGAAAAGAAAGATTCAACCGCGAAAGTACTTGTACTAGAAGCCAGTGAGGAAATAGGTGGTCGTTGTCGAAATGCAAGTGTTGGCCCAAATAATGAATCATCAGCCGGGTTTGGTGCTCAATACATAGGAATAAAACAAACTCATATATATAGTATAGCTTTTCGCCTATCTTCTTTAAGAAGTAATCCTAAAGTTTATGGCCATAATCCATGGTTTCGAACATATTCTGAAGGAAAGTGGTATGATACATCTGTTGAAACTTCTTGGAATGGTATTCAAAGTCTTGATATTAATGCTTCGTGGTTAAAAAAGTTGTCCCTATGTAAAACGGTGCTTCTTGTTTATGCTCTAGAGAATCTTATTAATGGTGCTTATCCGAGTTTAAGTTGGGGTGCTTATTGGTTAGATAAATGGAATGTACAAGAATGGATAGATGCTCAAAAACTTCATCCATGGGTTGCGGAATTATGGGTGATGGGAGTGAGAAATATTATGAGCATTGACCCTAAAGATTTAAGTTTACTTCATTTTCTCTGGTACAATGTAACCAACGGTGGATTCTTCAATGAGGTTGCAAAGGATACAATTGGTGGACCGCAAGAATTCTCTGTTGAGTGTGGTATGGGTGTGTTAGCTCAGCGCTACAGTAAAGAAATTCGTGGTGATATTTTACTTAACTTTCCAGTTGTTGAAATCAAAACTTGTACAAACCAAGAACTTATTGTTCGTGGTAAAAATGGAACTACATTTATGGCTAGAACTGTAGCTATATGTGTTACTCCTGGGGTTACAAATCAAATCAAATTTACTTCCTTTAACAATACTCCTGTTATCTCTCATGAGCGCGCAAATTTTTTCAATCAACCAATTGGTTATATAGCACGTGTTATTATGCGTTATTCACAACGTTTTTGGCATAACGTTTCAATTTCTCAAAATCCCAATGCAAATTTTTATGGATTTTCAACAGGTACAAATCCTACCCTACTAAAAACACACATGGAATGGGCATTAGACATATCTGATCCTTCCAAGAAATCTTACGCTCTCACTATTTTTACTCGTACTGGTATATTTGATAATGTTCGCGCGATGGGCATTACTGGTGATCAATACAAAAAAGAAGTTGAACGACAATTGAAAGAGGATGCTGTCATATTAACACAGATGGAGATGGCACGGATGGCTAGTAGTGTAGAATGGTACGAATGGTCAGAAAATGAATGGATAAGATGTGGTCCAAATACTTATACGCGACCTGGAATATTAACTGCACTAGGGAAAAAATTACATGAACCTGATGGTCCACATAAAATATTTTCTTTGCTGCAGCAGAATATGCACCAGCTTTTGTAGGATATGTTGAAGGTGCTGTGCGCAGTGGCGAACTAGTAGGACAACAAATTTATGCTAAATTGCATGGAAACGATGTTCAGAGTGTAGTAGTAGTTGGCAAAAAACCAAACATTTTATTTGCAATTTTATTCGGGTTATTATGGATTATAGTATATATTTTAGAAGTAATAATTAATATAATTTTAAGATCATTAAATGCAATATCACCATCTAAGCACGCATGGCAACTCGATTGGATTTATCCTTTGTTATATCTTACAGTACTAATGATTCCTTCACCATATGCATTATTTATCCCACAAATTTTCACATTCATTATAGTGTCGCAATTTGACAATATTACAAATTTTAAGGCACTAGATGCGCCTGAACCTTCACCAATGCGACTTTTTATTCATGAAATATGTACAATATTTTATCTTTTGGTAACTTTGTGGCAATCCAGCAATTCAAATTCACTTAAATGGATAATATACGCATTAAATGGTGCATTATTAATGGCAACTTATGGTGCTGTAATAACTCATGAAGCTGTACACATAGGTGGTAGATTGTATAAAATACGGTCAAGCTTTATTTACACATTGGCAAAAATAATTGATATTTTTTTAGGCATAAGTTGGGGTTTTAGCCAATATCATTTTCAAGGACATCATATTAAATTTGCATGTCCAAAAGATTTTGATACTCCATATTTCAACGAATCCTTTTGGAAATTCCTTCCACGAAATTGGATAGGTAATTTCTATTATGGAAATAGAATCGATTCGATGGTCATGATTGTAATAATTTTTTGTTTCTCATATATTATTCTTGGTTGGAAAGCTTTAGCACATCTTTTATTACAAAGCGTAATTACACAAATTTCATTTTCATCAAATGCATATACACAACATTATGGTTTAAATCGAAATTTAACATACATGATTGAGGGTAAAAGTAAAAAACTTAGGTCTCATACTTGGATGGTTATTTAACTCAGTATTAATGGGATCAGGATTGCATCATGCACACCATGTGAAATGCCTAAGAAATTTGGCAAATGAAAGTGTTCCACTTAATTCAGGTATTGGAATACTAGATGCAGCTGGCTTAGCTTTATTTCCACAATTATGGTTTAAGAAAATTAATCCATTGATACCAATCGAAATAAGGTTGATAAATAAAAATAATGAAGAACATTGACCTTATTAATGAGGATACAGTAAATGGATGAGGCAATAGAAATTTTTTAACAAAATAAACAAATACTGCGTGCTTTGACCCATTGTTGAACAATGGATAGCATGATAAAAATAAATCATGTAATATAAATGAGTGATGAAAAAGGAAAACCTGTAAATCATTTCACTTATTACATTACGCGATTTACAGATTTTCCCTTTTCGTTACTCAAATAATATTGTTAATCTACGCTTTAAATTTATATTGGCTAAAAAAAAGTAAATAAACAATCGGGTTTCCGATAACTATTTGATATTAACTTATATGGTACAAGTTAAAACCATTTATTTATACCTGCTGGACATATTCTTAGGATCTGAAATTTTTCTATGATAATCTAGAAAAATGGGATTGCCGAGAAATTTTTATATGGTGTGAACTTGCGACTTGGTCGTTCGACAATCCAGAATCTCGCGTAACCAACGATAAGTAACTTTACGAAAGAGGGGTGTTAGATTTGGCTGGTGGGTAATTAAGGCTTTGGTTACTTGAGTCGCGAATTCAGGTAGGGTATGTCCGTGATCAAGAACTTAAACGAACAACGATTTTTATGGGGTTCATGGGGTGTATAAATAGAATAGTAATAGCGTATTTTTATGGACGGTGTATATGATTGGGACTTATTATTTAATAAAGCAAACGAGACCTAATCTCTCAGGGTCATTTCGGCCTTTATTTATATTACCCGCTTTGCCTCTTACTAGAGATGGGCACGCGCGGGATTTTTAATATGATTCCAAAATAGATTATCTGGCCAGCATTACCATAACATCTGGCTAGCATTAATATAATATCTGGCCTGCATTAACGTATTTAGCTAATTCCAATTAAAATTTATTTATTTATTTGCTATATCTATGATAAGAACTTACTTCTTTGCCGTTGGTATCTTTTGCTTACGTTACAAAAATAGTCTTTATGATTAAGTCACCCTTTTAAAAATAAATATAACATGCGTTTTAATAATGATATTTGGAATCATCGTACAAAAATTGGATCAGATAACCAAGGACGTGATTAATGTAATTACTGCTATTAAACTTTACAAAAAATACGTAGAAATCACTATTTTGACTGGCCAATGGCAACGACCAAAAATTTAGGCAAAATTACTCGAATTTTAGTAAAGAAATCGTGGCCGCCCATTAGGTGAAATTACGGTTGGGAAAATTTTTGGTCTAATTAATCCCCGCGGGATCTAAAGCATTCCCATGAGGCTTGCCTAAGGGCATGCTTAGAACTACCCCAGTATTGCACCAAAATATTAATAGTAGCTCACCCACAAGATTTTTTCCGGTACGTGATTTTTAGCCAATTATATCGAAGGATCGGGTGTAACGTAAAATCAAAACAATCGAATTAAGCGAAAGATTTTAAAGTAAGAAGCATCATCTTAAGGTTAGGATAAGGGATGAAGAAGGGCATAGCTTATACTAAAATTTCACGAGGAATTTTTTTTATTAGAACGCAGAAGGCAGTTTCATAGGTAAAATTTCGAGTTAATGGCGATTTTTTAAAAAGACGTGATTTTCACGTTACGTGCCGGAAAAAATCTGTGGGTGAGCTACAGAGGTTCACCAAAATGTTGCAATCACGTGAATTTTCTGTGGCGCAAACAAATCAGATTTCAAGATCAGGTGGAACGTTTCACGATCAGGAAAATTCAAAACAAACGTTTGCTTTGTCAAAAATCGCCCATAACACGAAAATTTACGTAGGAAACACCCTTAGTGCACTAGCAAAAATTTTTTTCGAGCGATTTTACTATTAAACACTTTTAACCTTAAAATTAGCATAGACCCTAACCCTAACCTAAACGAACTTTAAAAATTTTTCGGTCCTCACGTGGGTACATGATTTAGACAACAGCAATGAGCAACAAAACCTTAGGCGCCATCCTTCAAATTTGTCAATGATCTACATCATTTCCATAATACTATTTTAAATACGATTTGTGTCGTCAAGTCTTGTTAAGACAAGTATTTTCATTTTTCATAGATGAAATATAATTTTAAACACTTTTTCTAATATTAAATTTCTATGATATTAGCGTACATTTTATTCGAGCATACGTTAGACGTCGCATATAACTTCGATAACCTCTGGATCAGCAACTTTTTGGAAGTAGATAAATGTGCGTTGTTTTTATTTTGCAAAGGAAGAATAACTTCTAGTAGAAGCCGTAGGAACTCAGGGAATGACTGATTAGTTTATTTAGGAGAACTTTGTTGATAATAAAGACTTAGGATAACTCCTAGTAGACTATCATGTTAAACACTGAGGGATTATGTTTCATTTACTATGAGAATTACTGGGTTTGGATACTGGTAACCACTCCAGGTGTTCTGGATTCAGGTATTCTACCTTTGTTGTTAATAAGGGACTACAGACTCTGAAAAATAGAATCAAGAGTTCTGAGAAGGAGTCTGTTATGCACCTATCCTTATTCTAAATAAAAACTGCACTAGGTTACTATCAAACATATCAATTCGAAGGTAAGAGTTATTCGAACAAGAGTATTAAACAAGAATACCAATTTTTTTATTTTTTATTTGCCTATTAAATTATTTAACATACTAATCTACTTATACGATATTTATTTTCATTTTTCATATATAAAATATAATTTTAAACACTTTATTCTAATATACATTTCGTTCAAACATACGTTAGACGTCGCATATAACTTCGATAACCCCTAGACCAGTAACTTTTTGAAGTGGAGAAATGTGCGTTGTTTTTATTTTGCAAAGGAAGAATAACTTCTAGTAGAAGCCGTAGGAACTCAGGGAATGACTGTTTAGTTTATTTAGGAGAACCTTGTTGATAATAAAGACTTAGGATAACTCCTAGTAGACTATCATGTTAAACACTGAGGGATTATGTTTCTTTTACTATGAGAATTACTGGGTTTGGATACTGGTAACCACTCCAGGTGTTCTGGATTCAGGTATTCTACCTTTGTTGTTAATAAGGGACTACAGACTCTGAAAAATAGAATCAAGAGTTCTGAGAAGGAGTCTGTTATGCACCTATCCTTATTCTAAATAAAAACTGCACCAGGTACTATCAAACATATCAATTCGAAGGTAAGAGTTATTCGAACAATAGTATTAAACAAGAATACCAATTTTTTTTATTCTTTATCTGCCTATTAAATTATTTAACATACTAATCTACTTATACGATATTTACTTTTACCAATTACTGCATTTTTCATGCATCATATTCGATTTTCCTCCTGCATCATTGATCAATGATCGAGACCTTTTGAACCTAACTTACGAAATTAAGCAATAAGTACACTTTCAATATTTTATACTTCTTTTTTTTTTTCTTCTAATTTCTTTAATTATTTGGTTTAGAAACTCCTCAATTGCTATACCATGAATACACGTATCTTAAATAGCATGGCGGTCGCATATTTCATCTGACTTTGAACGAATTTTTTGCCCAGACGAACTGTATAGAGAAAACGAATACATATTCAAAAGTTATACTTTTTGTTCTGTACAAAATAATCACGAAAACAGGAATATCATGAAGGTTAGTTATCGAGTGTCACAGGACTCAAGTTCTGATGAAATTTACAGAGTACTTGCTTACGTTGATCTATTTGTGTTATATAAAGGAGTGTAAAATATACTGAAAAATCGGATATTTATTCTTTCAAAATAGTTATGTCAAAAGTTTTTGCTAGATATCCTCCATATCATGATATTTCGTATGATGAAAATTTAGCAAGATAAATCTCTTAGGCCATAGACCTGAAATTAAATGTGAGGTTCCTCAACTACTTTTGAATTTATTGAATAAATGCCTAGATGCTGAACCTCAAAACCGACCAACTGCTGAAGAATTGGCTAATACGCTGAATTGTTTTTATTATATAAACATATTAAAGAAATTAAAGACTCAGACAAAAATTCCTCAATCTATGATCAAGTAAAGTCAGCATGATTCAACTATCAGACACATCCGCAAACTATTTACACAAGTCGGCTTTTGAATTTTTCAAATCTTTTTAAACCAGGTAAGAATATTTCCTGCATATATCCAAAAAAAATTTTAAATGTATTAATTATAAAATTTTGGATTAATGAATATAGTAAATGTAAGTAAGGCTCTTTTCATAATCATTTGAAATAGAAAGATTCATTACCTATTTTATATTGGTATTTAGATTAATAAATCGTATCTTATGCAAAATTTATATAACATACATCATTTTTATTAGCCGTTCAGTCATTACATTTTCTACAAGCTATTTTATTTTATCTACCTATGCTATTTAATCTGTAGGCAACAGAACTTTATAAATTTGTCGTCAATAAAGTTATTGAATTATGTATAAGAACTTAAACTTTTGATCAAATGCTTTTTCTTTCAATATAAAGATTATTTTGACCAGTTGTAAAACTTGCTGTAAAATAAATAAATAAGTAACCGTGATTGTTTTTTTTATTGCAAAAATAACAACTAAACTTCAGGCTTTATAATTAATTGTTATTTGCTGTATGCTATTTTATTTGCCGATTTAAGCACCCAAGGTGCTTAAAATTTGACCAGTCAAATCATATGACAAATAACGGCAGTGTTCTAATACCAGTAAAGCGCAATAGCTCTTTACTAGTTTAAAATTTGTTCTATTATTCCGAGCAGAATTATGTTGGTCACGGGCCGGTATTTTTTTAATGCTGGCCAAATTAAACGTTTAAATGATTAAGAAAATTTTTAGGTGGTTCCAATCCCTAATCATAAAATGACTCAGAACATGTTAACTTCAAAAATTAATTAAAAAAAAACAGATAAAGCAACCTGACTATCAAACTTGCTAAAGTATTAAAAAAAACAAATAAACACTATCAAAGCTAATTTTATTATGTTATTTTTTAATCAAAATATTTGTAAAAACGATGAACAAAAATATATGTCAAAGAAATTTATTAATGAGAAATCATATCAAGATCTTGATCAAAATATAATTAAAAAGAAATAAAATGAAATGTTACTAGGACTCAAGAAGAAAACAGTACCAGAAATTTTAAGTATCACATATATACTAATTCAAGTAGCAGAAAACAAAGCTCAAGAAGTTTTTAGAACATTTGCTAAAATTTGTATTAAGACGGGTAAAATACTAGAAAAGTGAAAAATAACATACTGTGCAGCTACCTTATCAAATATATTTTATCCTGTTTTAGCTTGAGTATTCACCCAAGCTTTGGACATCATTTAGTAGCCACACAATGTGTCCTAGAACTTCTTTTAACCGCCTTTCCATATCATCATCGCTATATACGACAACTAAAGGCTTTGACAAATTAAAAATTGGCTTTTCATCAATGCCTAATGAACATTTCAGGAAGTACCATTTCTCAGAATCAGTTATGATTCCGAGAACATTTTTCCTACCTTTCATTAGGACTGATTCGCATTGCACAGTATTCTGTGCAATGCCTTGTAGGAAGTCCTTTGAGTTAACTTCTATCACACAAATTACTTCGGAAGTTTGGGAAGATACTAAGGCAAAATCTACAGGTCCATGTCCATTTGGACCTGAGATATACTTTTCAGTGCGTATTATTAATTTGTCCTCAAATATAGCAGTAATTGCTACGAGGTACGCACCGACGTATTTGACTTTTGATGCTTCATTTCCGATAGGAATATATTTATATCGGAAACTCAGATCAGACATAATATGCCTGATAATTGATTTTTCCCTCTCACCTTTTAATTTTACACATCCACAGTTAAGGGAAGGGAGGGCTGACAATTGAGGATCTTCTACATCTCTAATCCTATAAAGGTCACATATCATTCGGAAACTCCATTTCGAAAATGATAAAGTTTCTCCGAAAGATACAGTGAATGACATTGAACCTTTTAACACGAATATCTGGAGTATGTTTTGAAACTCCAAATTATTACGTGGAATGTATCTTTCATCATTACACGTAATAGTGAGCGATGCCCATTTTTATTCATTTCTGATAAATGGTGCATCGCAATTATGGAATTTTTTAGATCCTCAATCGCCGCCTTATTGATATCCATAACCCACTTGAATGTCTTTATACGTTTTGGAGTTACTAGAATTTCAAATTCTACAATTATAATAGCTAGATTAGTACAGAAGATGGTGACTATAAATAAACAGAGTCATTATCATCATATCCGCATTAATCACTCGCATAACATCACGCATCAATATTTGGCCTTCCGTGATTAAACACATAGATCATTTCTATTTTCCAACATACCATATAACTCCTTCTGATCTTGATCAATGGACCTCGTACGTTTTGACGGTGATGGGTCAATGTTTTCTTTTTCCTTACCCTTATCGGTTTTTCGTTTGCGTTTGATAATCTACAATAATAGCCAAATTTAGCATACAGTAAAGATTTCCCCTTACAGGATTCAAAATGTTGCGCATATTGGTCAAATATTTAATATTCTCAAATTTTATATAAAATTTTTAAAAAGAAGCAAATTCTAACTTTAAATATATGCATTGTTTGAAATCCTAATAATCTAGTATAAATTAAAGTAATTACTAGAGGTCGGAATTGGTTTAATTAATCGAGTTTATCACATCGATTCATCCAATAAAATTTTGATTGTGATAAACTCGAATTTTTAAAACCGGTTCCGGCCTCTAGCGCTAGTAATTAAATCTAGAAATTTGAATCCAGATTACCCAACAGTCAATCGATTATAATCGATTGAATTTCGATGGAGGTGCTAGTTTGGAACCAGTTTCATTTTTCGTATATTCAATCCGATTAAAACCGGTTTTGATATGAATGGTTAAAAAACCTTTGCTTAAGTCAAAATATATGATTTGAATGTTTGCAAATTAACTAATATTTGATGAATAAAGTTTATTTATTTGAATAAATACTATTTATATGAAATAATATATAGTTATTGAATGTTAAGTAACCGATAACCGGAATCTCATATAACAAATAATAAAATTATTCAAATAAATTATGTTTATTCGAATATTAAGTTATTTGCTGAATAACCAATAGTTATTCATAAAGTTTAATTTGAATACGAATTTGTAAGCAATAGATTAGTCATAAGTACAATTGTTAGGCGAAACCATTTTGCGCAAGTGGCGAAAGACGAAACCGAAAGACGAAATCCCCTTGGTGTAATGGTAAAACCCCGGCGAAATGACAAAATCCCACGAAATGCTGAAACTCTCGGAGAAAGATAAAACCCCGGCAAAAAGGAAACCTTTAGCGAAAGTCAGAACTCTTGATGGGCCGTGCTGATGAATAAAAATATTTTGCATGTGGCTATTAAGTATATATCGTCACCTTTCGCTAATTTCGTCACCTTATGCCAATTTCGCAATTTAATTTTTTTTTGCTGAAAGTCGAATTCAGTTTCGCCTTTCGCCACCGGCGAAATCCCCTAGATTTCACCTAACAACTTTAGTCATAAGGTCTTAAAACTAACTGCAATTAAAAATTAGTCAAAAACTATTAAATGCTAAAAAATATATAAAAGAACTTTCTTAAGTAAAGCTTTTTTTTAGCATATTTTCTTATTTGACCAATAATACAGCAACTAACAGTAACAATATAATGAAGATTATAAAAATTTGCCTACTTTTTTTTCACATGCATTAAGAATTCCTTGCCAATAGTTCTTTAAACCCTTGCCAGAACGTTCTGATTCAACCTATTATAAGAAAAATTATGATAGAATGACTTTTATTTAGTAACAATGGAAAATATGTAGCTGGTTAAGATGTGGCTAAAGTTGTGCTATCCTTTAGCCAATTAAAAATAAATTCAGGCTATAATTAATATATACAATTAAGAAAATTTTAGGATGCGCTTCCATTTCCTATAATTTCAGAAATTTGAAGCAAAAGCACCAAGAAATTGTTTGAACATGAGAAAGTAACCACATTATCGTTATTGATTACATATTTAGTTCCAGTAAGCAGAGTTCAAGTAATTCTGAAATGCACCAAGTTTAAGGAAAATTCCTCCTAGACACCGGTGCTTCTATTTGAGTGAAATAGTGATGGCGCAAAAATTGGGCGGTCCCGTGACTAATTAAACAGCGGTGATATCAATGAGATGCTAATTTTCATCTAAAAATTAATGGCTGCATTAACACAAAATATAAAAGAACATACCTAAATTTTTGTGTTGAAATCTTTTATTTAATAACAAAAGGCTGATTTCCTTTGCAAATTTATGTTTTTTGTGATTTCTCGTTTTTTTTCACCTTTAATTTTTTACTTCGCATTTGTATGTTACACGCTGATCTTACAATCGGATTTGATAAAAATCACGGGACCGCCAAATTTTTGCGCCATCACTATTTCACTCCTATTTTTAAGCTTAGTGTATCTTAGCTCTCTATTTAAATCAGTAGTATTTTTACGAATAAAACTAGAACACCTGATTCAAAATCTTTGTGCATGAATATTATTCTTCTGAAATTCAACTGACGTCACTTCTCTCCTGTAAAAATAAAAAACTTACCTTTCTTTTTAAATCACATAAGAATTTGCATCTAATGACTTTTTTGCTTGTTTCATGAAAGCACTAGACCAAGAATTATCAAGGCTTTGCCAGTCACTTGACGGAGATGACGAAGCAATAATGATTTCATCATAAATTTTTAAAAAGGTTCGATATGAATAATTTGTGTAATCATTTAAGTATGAAGTAATAACTAAGGAAAAATCGGTTAGAAATTTTTTTATATTACGATAAACAACATATTCATGATTTACCTAAGGTATCCATGGTCTAGTAAAAAATAGTAAAAGTGGTAAGAAGGAAAAAAGAACGAGAAAATATTGAATGTAAAAAATAGTAAAGAAAAAAAAAAGAAAAAGACGCTTATACAGATTTTAAAACGCTAGGACTCTAGAGCAGCTTCTTATATCAGCACATCCCGTGATACACACCAAAAAAGGAAATTTTTGTAGTGATGGGATTCCCAAAAATCCCGCGTGATTACAGGTAGGAACGTCCCAAATATGGAAATGATGATCTCGATCATGCATATTGATTTAGCCAATCAATATCGTAAATTTTTATCATGTGA